CAAATAATCATTTAAATATAAGATATCCATAAATAAATTCTTAATTGCAAGTTAATTTAATTTAATCAACAAAATTAAATTAATTTAATTTAATTGATTAAATTTTTTCAAATATTACTATTTTTATTTATAATTCTATAATATTCTTACCAATCCATAATGGTTTTTTTTCTGCGCTATTGATTATTTCAAACAACTCATTCTTTTCGGCAATCATGTTATCATAATGTATGGAAACGCTGTTATTGTTTAAAGAAACGATATCTAAATTGCTGAAATTATTAACAGAATTAAATTAACAAGTAATAATAAAATAATATTAAATTTATCGAAAGATTCAACTTTTATCTTAATATATTTGATTTTACTATGTATTTTTTAGGAAGTTCTATGTTATTATAATATTTTGTTTGAATAAAATGTAAACTTTTAATTATAATTTCATCTACACATATAATTATAATTTGATATACATACATATGTATATTATAAGGATTATATAGGAAAAAATAAAATAGTTTTCATATTGATTTAATTAATTTTTTTTATTAAATTTTTTATAATTAACATTTATATAAAAAGCAAAACACTTACGGATGCCATGTAATCGCAGAAAGCGCAGCACTTGCCGAATGTAAATAATCCTGAAGGTATTTCTGTTGATACGCCGTTTTATATGTTACAATGTCTGGTCCCGTGATTAAACTATTGGAATATCTTGGGAAAGTTTTCAGTATTTCGTGGAAGTTGACGACGTATCGCCCTAGTTCTTTGCCAGATAAGTCGCATCTCGTTTGGCATTCTACAGCAAAAGTATTTGAAAGTGACTCAAAAGTAAATGTTTTAGAAATGTAAATATTTGATGAATATACATTTTAAGACAATTTAAAATTAAATATATATTTTAAAACAGTATTATTTTTTAAATATTTTGTAACAATTAAAATATGCGATTTTAAATATTAGATACTTTGCTTTTATCTAATTTCATTTGTTACTGTTTTAAAAAGATACAGCTTTTGAAAAACTTACCATAGCCCAATTGCCAACTCATGTTGTAACCCATACGATCGCTGAAAGAGAGAAGTTCTGCTATGTTCCTAGGATCCGTGGAATCCGTTTTAAATTCTTTGTCAATATAGTGAGGAGTGATGCACGCGATTACATCTAATCCGGTGTTCTTTGCCCATTGATAAATAACTGTCCATTGCGTTCCTATTAAATTACATTCTCTTAAATTTGCATACATTTTGTTTCAAAATATGTTTTGACTCAGGTAAAAATATTTAAAAATATTAATAATATTAAACTATTTTTATACAGATCTTATCTTTTTATACAGAATATTCCAAACAATTATCTAACATTGTTTTGTGTGTAGTTGTATTTCAGATAAGGAGGGCAATTCATTGTGTATTTTATATGTAAACATATCGCTTTTTCAATCTGAATACATATTCGACAGTTATCAGCAAATACAATAATCTAAATATTACATTACTGAATATTAACGCTTTCGCAACTCGTACTATTATCTCAAAGCTTATACCGACGTCATATTATAACATTCATTAGGCGCTTCTGTCATCAAAGCTAATGGACGCGCATGTAACTACTGGCAACCGCAATATAAATTAACGACATTAACATTATGTAATTGCATCATCCTCTTCCATTGACATGGTCCTTGCAATCCTTTCAATATATGAACTCAGCGGTCAGACTCGGTATACTATCATGAAACTGTCATATGAGTGACATGCTAATATATAAAAGCACATTTTAATAATTAAACCAAAGGATTTAAGAAGTCTAGTTATTGTTGATTAAACTTTGAGCTTGCATTATTTATTTTATATAAATATTTCTGAGTTTTACCTAAAATTTACAAACAAAGAAAAAGAGAAGGAGAGACATATTTAATGTTATTATATTACCAAAATGCATGTCATTTTGATCCGTATTAATCTCGTGCGAATATACTTGTCCAAAATTGTAAAAATTGCTTTGTGGTCCTCCAAGGCGAATATAAGCAGGTGCCAAACCTCGCGCCAAATTCATGCTTTTCTCGATATTTTTGCTGAACAATTAATACAAAATATAATAATATATATTTTTCTTACGTAAACGGACTATTATAATATAAAAGAAAATAATTTCTTTTAAACTAAAGAAAGATAAATTGTATTAAATAAAATTAAAGCTTGATTATTATAATTGCATTATAATTTTTTAATGATATTAAAATGTACTAAAAATTATAATAGCTAATAAAAAATGTTAATGAAACATTGATAAATTCCTTACTAAAATATTGTTATTAATGTCATATTAATTCTTTAAGAAAAGTAAAGTAGGTAAAGTGGTAAGGTGTAAAGTTAGTTATCTTTAATTAATATTTTATCTATATTTATCGATATTTTTTTCCTTTTTTTTTAATACTTACATAAAGTCATTGTACTGCAACGTTGCTGGATCCAGAGTGAAACTGAGAAATGCGTGATCAGTTACTGCAATCGGTTTCTTGACATTTATGTTAAGTATTAAATTTTTCGCGAGACAATTTGTGATAAAAAAAATTACTTGCAAAAGCAAGCAAACATATTGTCGATGACATTTCATTTCTCCAGAAGTGTGTATTCCGTTTGATTTTTACACTCAATTCTCATTCTTTATCTTATTTTATATATATATATATATTAATTCGAAAGAATTGAACATTTTCTAATCCTTTTTTACACGAACAAATTTTAAGATGTAATTAAAAAAGAATCTAAAAAATATCCAATTTTGACAATATTAGCAATTATATAAAAATATCAAAAAATATATGAAAATTTTAAAGTATATTTTATAGGAATGTCACGTATGTTCATAAAAAATCGACACAACAAACTGAAACACCTTTTCACACGTAACACACGTATTGAAATTTCGCATATACTAAGGTCGTGTACATGGTTCTGAAATCGTGTCACAATAAAATTGCTTAGCGCATGTTTCGAAATTGGAATTTAATTACGTAAACGAAATCAATAATGCGCAAACACAGCAAAAATGTTCGGCTATGTTTTGAAGGGATTCTTAAATTCGTACACGGTATCTTTATTAATTTACATCTAGTATTAATGAATTATTTAAGATTTAACAAAATCATCATTTTATATTGTCACATCATTCGAATCTCCTTTGAAAAAGCAAATTCTTATAAATTTACATATCAAGGTAATGAATATTAATTAATATTTTAATAAATGTACATTTATATTAAATAACATAATAGTAAGAAAAAATCTAAGTGCAGTTCTAAATTGTGCAATTAATAATATATATGTTGTAAAAGTTAGTGTCAAAATTAAAAAAAAGAAGTGTTAATTGTTGCAATCCTCTTGAGATTTTTTTAACGGATTGTTGAAAAATAAAAAAAGGATTTTTTAAGAAAAAAGTTTTAATTTTTCTGTTTAAAATGGGGTTTTATCAAGGAAATATTTGGTATGATTGATAAAAAAGTAAAATATTTGGTTATTTTTGCTTTTTATTAATTTTCAACAAATATCTCGGATTAAGTCATTACTAGAAAAAAACAAACACAAATTTTACTCGAGCAGTAAGCGTCTCCTCTACTGGAATACATTTTCGTCGAGACACCCTGTATATCCTGCGAGAGTGTATACTTGTGTGGGTGAATGTTGGGTGGTCACTTAATTTCTAAGATTTTTTTTATATAATATATATAATATATATATCTAACAACAATATAATATTATCATCATTCGCCTCTTTCTCTTTCTTTTTTTTTTACTTTGTTAATGTTACATAATACATTATTATATTCAACAATAAACTCATTTTGTATCATTCCTTTATCGATTAGGTTAGCTGCTACGCACTGCTATTTTTTTTATACAAGGGTTTTATTCCTCCACCATACACCGTCATTTTTGCTTAGCTTTCTTTGTTCACACGAGCTTCCTGTTCTTTCTTCAGCGTTCTCTTTTTCGTCTGCCACAAAATGTCCTCCGATTCGAGGATTCCAGAATCCCAGCTTTCCATAAAGCACAGTACATGCTTAACAAATTATAAGAAAAATAAGTGGTCTGACAATTAAATCCGTTTACATACAACTTATTCTAATATAACGCATTTTCATCCAAGTTAATATTACGCCCTTCAAAATAAGATTTTCTTTTGCATAATATTTATATCAGCTATATATGATGTAACTATTATAGCGATTCTTCAATTGAAATTGAAGATATGTGAAAAATTGAGGCGCACATATATGATATCTTAGCGTATTTTTTATTTTTAATGTATTTAGAAAAAATATATTTACAAACTTAATTGTCAGATCAAGTAAAATAAAAATTGATTTTTAAAAAATTCTAAGGAAAACATAAATACATATTATTTACAGATTTTTAACATAAAATTCAATATTCGAGAGAAAGATGTTGAAAATTAGGAATACAAAATCTTAATTAATTAATATTTAAATATGTGTGTAGCCAAGATTCATATATTCCTTAGGATATATTTGATTTTTTGATTTTATGACTAAAATTAATAATCACCACCAAGAGACAAAGATACAAAGAAAAAATTCAAATATCTAAATTTAACAAAGCACAAACTTATGAATCAAAGAGTTTGTAGTCATAAATTTCAAGAGTCCAAACAATCTTCAGATCATTCACAACCTTCCATTCATTTTCCGAGCAAGCTTCGTGCGATTCTCGTCCATTCTTTCTCACACTCCACATTCGGTATGTTGCTAAATTCCACAAACAATTTTATTCTAAATCGTTCTTAATTTAAGGACATCTCTTCGCAGATATTTGGCTGTAAAAGAAAAATAAGCTCAGACTTATTTTCAAACTATCATAAATCTCTTAGATTAGATTAAAATCCAAGCTCAATTCTTTTGTTTTTATAATCATCTCTTTCAACTGATCTCTTCATTACATTCTAAAGTGCTTATCTTTGTTTTATAAAGATATATTCCAAATCTGCGAAAAGTTGTCATATAAGTTTTCAAATTTTCGCTGTTAATCCTAGAACCCTAATTATTTCTGATAATAGAAAATATAATTTTTTAAATATTATTTTTATTTTGATACATATTAACTGATAAAATATTTATTAAAACAGAATTAATTTTTTAAATTGCGTTTACAATAAAATGTCCAATTATTTTATATAAATTAAAATTAGTGGGTTTTTATATTAAGGTTCCAGGATTAGATTGATTGTAATTTACTTAAACACTCGTTCGATAATAGTAATTGTAGGCATCAACAGTATTGCTTCTTGGTTTAACGAAATCACGAAGAGTCTGGTCCGCAACAATATCGAACGTACGCTATCGTCAAGAACAATATGACGATTAATATAAAATAAAACAGAAGATTATATATATATAAGTCGTCAAAAGATTTTCATGTCAATTTCAATCTATTGTATCATCATAAATTAATTTTTCAATTGTATAGAGTTTTTCGTAAGAAAAGAAACTCTAATTATAAGTTTAACTTCAAATAAGGAGAATTAATAAAATTAAAATCTTCTCACCACTATTCCTCGTTATTTTGAATACCCACTATTCTTACATTATTTATTAAGTAAATAAAAAAAATTTTTTTATTTTACAAGTATAACAACTTGTTTCACAATTTATATAGTGTTCCAATGGATTAATATAAGACAGAATATAACAATGTTCATCGTTAGACGAATTTTGATTTAAAATGAGAGAGATTTACATTTAAATATTTTGAATTACATGAAAAATTTAAATATTTATATGTGTGTGTATAATATCACATATTATAAAATTCTTCTTGTAATAATCATACACTAATCTCACTTATTTAAAAATAACAATAATATTAATAAATACAATTATTAATATAATAACAATTGAAAGTATTTCAGAATAATTACAAATAACAATAATACAAAGATTTTCAAATCAATGACGCTTTAATTCGCGCGTAAAATTTTATCATTAATATGTAATCGAGTTTTTTTAATTAAAAATAACAATTCAAAATATTAATATAATATTTCCTAAAACTAAACACTAATTAATTTTAAAAAATTAGTTTTGATGATATTTATTATCGAATAATATTTATCTTTTAGAGAATTTTTTTTATTAAACAGTTATATCAAGAATTTTAAAAAATTATGAATAAAATAATGTTTCGTTAAATTTTTAATATTTGATTTAAAAGTGATTGATGAATTTGCAAGTAGAAAAAAAACATGATTGATTTCGAACGTCTTTGTATATAATTCTTGCGACAGCGATAATAACTCCTTTCCACAAACATCGCACAAGTTCGCTCGGACATGTTGGTATAACGAATCATTGCTAACTCGAATGGCAGTCGAAAATGCGGAGTTTTTTAACGCTCTTTCTTTTGTAATTCATTCACAATCGGAAAGTTTTCTTTCTCTCTCTCTCACTCACTCTCCCTCTCTTTCTCTCTCTCTCTTTCTCTCTCTCATTTCCATGAATATTCCCTTATCACTCTCTTGTGTATAAAGCTAAAGTCTACCTACTTAACCACATATGGTTTAACTTTTTTCTTAATAATGTATCTTGCTTAACGCCTAACTTCTCTAACTACAGACATTCTCGAACTATCACGTTTTCTTCTCGTAAATACTTTAGAAAGAAAATCAAAACAACCATTCTTGCTTCGAATATAAGGAAAAGTAGCTTTTTTAAGTTACAAATAATAAGAATAAAAAATGGTCACACGAACATATTCAACATAAATCATCTGTCGAATTAAGTCATTTTGTAAGTCAAAATATATTGAATTCATAAAATGCTCGAACATCTATTATTCTTCTCACTTGTTATTCTAGAATGATTTCTTAAAGAAAATGCGATAATTCGAGGATAATCTGTACGCAATAATCATCATCGTCATCACTTCTCGCGATGTGAGCGATCGTAATAGTAATCGATTAACGTTAAGTTATCATTATTACTTTATAATGCGTTGTGTCGTTGTCTCTGAATAGCCAAGTCGGTATTCACGAATTTCCCGGTGTTCCTCGAGATCGTACGTTATAAATCATCGATCATCGATCTGAATAATATCAAATAATCATTTTGTAAATGATTTTTTTCGATATAAGATTAATATTTAACCTAGCTCGATTATAAAAAAGATCAAAATTTCAAGACAATTGAAATTTTTTTTTTTAAACTGAAGAATTCTCGAGTCCAAGAATTCGAGGATCTATATGAATCCTAGGATGACGCGAATATCTAATAGTTCAACAATCTACACTTTCAAAGGTGTAAGAATCCACAGACCCAAGAATTCACAATTAATTTGCAAATTAATGTTATCTATCAGGATCTACATATCTAATCATCTACAATTCTTAAGAGTTTATCTAAGGCTTTCTCTATAATCTAAAGGACACCTAGGAACTTTTTTATAAATATAAACGTCTCGAGGAAGTGAGAAACCCGCCCGTATTATAATTTTTCTTTTTTATCGTATTCGCTCTCGGTTGCGGTTTTACGATAAAACCATCATTGTAAAAACGATAACGAGTTAAGATGTAGATCGAGATGTCCCTAAAAATTTTTATGT